TGGGCTTAACCCACTGAGTTGCTTCTTGAAGATAAGCCTTTTCGAACCTAACGTTTTAAAAAGCAAACCTTTTTGAATTACGGGCTTGGTATTTTTAAATTGTCTGTTGGTCATGTTTCCATTATTGTTTTTGCGTCAATAAAAGGTACCTACCTACTTTGGGCACATGGACGAGTGATTACACTTGTGTTCATGTGTTTATTTTTATCCGGATTCTTGTACTGCTGAACCTGGCACCTTTGACCTCAGGCTAAACGTTCCCTTAAATGATTGATAATCTTAGTACGCGGGAATAACCCAGGTGCTTAATTTCTGCAGATTCCTCTAAACTTGTGGCAATATTAAATTTCCAATTACCACGTGTACGTCGGTAATTAAAATAGACTAAAGAAAATCTGCATATCTTAGGAATTACAGTATTTCGAGTTAGAATACATATTTCCAGAACAAGCTTAAGCTGTGATATCCCCATTTAGCTTTCTCTGAATGAGATAATATGGCCAGTCCATTGCTACTTCAGCTTACTAATCCGTTGGATTATGTTGGTCACTGGTTCTCCTGCGGATATCCTCAATCCTAAGTTTATCACGCAGATAAACCCCGTGCATACACCTCTCCGTAGCTCGCTGAGTGACCTTGAGCTTCCTCATACGGCCAACAGTGAAGGACCACGTCTCAGATCCATAAGTCATCACTAGCAACACGCACTGGTTGTACAGTCTCGTTTCAAGTTTTGAAGTATACTTGACGAGAAAATGTGTCGTAATTTCCCGAATGCTGCCCAGCCGAGTTGAATCCGTCGATTGACCTCTCGGTCGAAGTTGGACTTACCTAGTCGGACTATTTGTCCCAGGTAAACATACTCGGAAGGAAAATATAGTGATGAAAATATTTCAACGGCATGTGAAGACTACCAACAAGCCTGCGGAAATGAGAGAAGAACTTTACCCAGCTGTGGGACTTATATAAGCAGCTGGAACCTTTATTGTTGTTGTTTATATGTACTTATTAAGGAACGAAGGTTTGGTCATATAGAAATAATGATTTTTTTTTATAGGATAAGGGTGACAAACGAGCACACAGTCCACCTGATGGCAAGTGGCCGCTGCGGCCCATAGACATCTACATCTATCCTCTGTTACGAATCAAAATGTAGATGCGTTGTCACCCGTGAGGACCAAGATGGAATGCCTCATTTCCAGTAAAAAGGGCCTCCGGCCACCTGCACTCACCAAGCGAAACGCAGAGGTAAACCTCTACTTCACGCTGGCTTTCTGTGAGGTCGTGATACTACCCCGGTTCGAGCCGGCCCATCCGTGCGACAGCAAAAGCTGCGGCGTGGCTCTACCACTGTGTTGAATGAGGGAAGAGTGACAAAGCAAATTTATGTTGCAGAGGTGAACGGCAGAGGCGTGAAAGGACGTCCTAGAGTAGTAGAGTTAAGAGTACGCTTAACCGACGAGCATGTATGCGTAGGTATATGGATATGAAGGAGGCGAGAGAAGTGTGTCAGGATCGTGCCAAATGGAAGTCCGTAGTCTCAGCCTTTACCCCTCTGGGTGACAGGCGTGAGTGTTTATGAAATTTATAATATAAATTATGATAAGTAAACGAACAATTTCAGATTGTAGTGGCTGAACACGAAGACCTACTGTCTCCGAATTTTTACACATTAGAATCTTTGAGGCAGGCGAGGAAGGACGGATGCAGCACCTACGTGATCATTCTCGCGAATGGCCTACAGGCTGCTCGATTGTTACGATTTGGTGATCGGTATTATTCATTTCTGTTATTTTCAAAGTCATTTAACAATATTACTACAAAAATATGCGATGCTAAAAATTTGCTCGGACTATCCCATTAAAGTTCCTATAATTTATTTATTTATAGCTTTATTTGCACACCAACTGCAAAAGGGCGGACTTAATGCGACAAGGCATTTTCAACGACTCTACCTCTATAGTTATAAACTATCGTTTTATACTGAAAAAATTAAACTTCAAAAAAAAGTAAAAACCGACCTCAAAAACTAAGAATGAAGAAAATATTTTCACATAACAGCTTCTAAACACGTAAGGAAGTATTAAAGCCCCGACTTCAGGAGTTGTAATCCACTTGGAAAATCCACACTGGAAATCACTTTATCTTATTTACTTAATAAAAATTTAATTTTAACCATTAATTAAGATAATAACCAGAATGTAGTTTAAATAGTTGCAATAAAAACATCAGTATTTTGTTACCTTTTTTTATAGGATAAGGGTGACAAATGAGCACACAGTCCACCTGATGGTAAGTGGTTGCTGTGGCCCATAGACATCTACATCTATCCTCAATTACGAATCAAAATGCAATTAATGCGTTGTCACCCGTGAGGACAAAGATAGAATGTCCTTTCCAGTAAAAAGGGTCTCCGGTTCTCTACACTCTCCATACTAAACACAGCAGCATTAAGCTGCTATTTTACACTGGTATTCTGTGAGAGCGTGGTCCTTCCCCGGTCGAGCCGACCCATTCGTGCAACAACTATACTACTAATATAGCTGCAGCATGGATCTACCACGTATAAAATAATAAATTTTATACGTGGTAGAGCTATGCTGCAATTTTTTGCTTGAGGTATTTGTGGTATAAGTGGTACATCGCTATTCAATAAAAAAAATAATGATTTAAATATGTTTAATTGATCAACACTACACTCGACCTTCTTTTAACTCGGCTAAAAACTGTGTGGCTTAAAAGTGAGCGTATAACCTAAATATAATATGTACTTTTCATGATCTTTGTTTATATTTGCGATTCTATGAATGTTTCATCTACGAATGTCTTTTATTGTTGCATTCTTTTCAATTAGTATCATGTTTTAATAAATAGGATTTACCTGTTTTATATAATATTTAAACGTCCTGGGGGCGTTTTACATACATAAATTAATATAAACACTTGTTGTATTAGCGGAATTTCAACCCGTAGCCAGAGCGTTACTAAGCGGCTACTAGAAAGGTATTATGTTTATCCTAGACAAATGTTCTCAGATACCGCCTGCTGGAAACAAGGGCCAAATATATAATGCTCTATGACATTAGATTGTTCAAAAGGGAGTTACATTATCTATGGAAACGTATAGTTAACGTTGTATTCTTACGATATCATAGTAAAATTTTCGACATTCAAAATAAACCTTGGTTTGACTTGTCCACCGTGCCCTATCCAAATCCCGTTAAAGAATTGCTCATAACACGACGAATTGATGTATGGAGAAGTGGCAAGTTTCATTATAATAGGGTTATATTTGCGGACAAAACGAAAAACTTCAATGGAGAGATATTGGACGTTGTTTACTTGGATCATGTTCCATCAGTGGTGGTTAAGAAGACAAACGAGTCAAGGACAGTTGGAGGCGTTGAAATTGAGGTAAGTATGACACCAAGAAAAACCTTAAATAAAGTAGATAGTATATTATCCGGTTTGAAGGACCAACTTCAGTTTTTTTTTTAAATTCTAACCACATAATGGCAGATTGCTTTTACACTACTATATTATAATACTTTATTTACAGTTTTGTGACAATAATATTGAATATTTTAGTTACTCAATCTAATGGGAGTCGCCGTACACTTCTACACTTTCGAGAACATTTCTTCACCATAGGTTGCTAGTTCTTCGAACTAATGGAAAATGCTAGATGGAGTGATGACCTTGTAAGATATGCAGGAAGTTATTGATGGATGCGGGTGGCTCAGGCCCGTGGTTTGTGGCATTTTTCTGGATGTATTGATGGTGATAATTTTTAGTTAGATTAATAAACTTATTATTAAAAGTACAGAAGATAATATCATAGATGATAACTTCTACCAATTGGTTTAGGCAATCCCAAAGACGCAATCTATGAGGAAGGACTATGTTTAGCAGTGAATTCTTGATAGGTTGTAAAAATTGATAATGAAAAAAATTGTTCCAAGCCCCATCACTTTTAATTTCAGATCCTTAACACAATAGCTTCAAAAATGAACTTCAAACCTAAACTATATCAGCCACTTAATGCTGAACAAAACAAGTGGGGTCAAAAGCAACCGAATGGCTCGTTTTCTGGACTCCTTGGCGAAATGGTCACTGGAAAGGCTGATATTGCTGTTGGCAATCTACAATACACTCCGTACTATCAGGAGTTAACAGATTTGAGTATACCCTATACGTCTCAATGTTGGACGTTTTTGACGCCTGAAGCCATGACGGACAACTCTTGGAAAACGTTGATTTTGCCATTCAAGTGAGTGGGTTTTTTTTAAACATACTGTGAGTACAAGTTCGAATTAAGTTTTAATTTTAACGTTATGTACAGATACAGAGTTCTTATTATTGAGTTAGTAATGAAACAATTCTATATGTTCCTGTAGCACTAACTACATATCTAAATATCGTAAGTATTTATTATTTAAATACGAAATACGATAAGATTCTTTGGGTAGAATAACGTTTAGGTCAAACATTAAAAAACACATCGTGTAGAACCAAAAAATGTAATCTATATTTTTAATCCAAACCTATAAATGTACATTTATTCAAGTACTAGTACTAGTTAAGAACTTGAGTATGCGTATGAGTTGCAGCGCCGAGAACCGCGAGTTCGAATGCCGCACGGAACAAACATTTGTACGGTATAGTTGTTCCGGGTCTGGATGTTTGTCCTTGTGAAATTTATGTATTATATAAACTGCCTCCTCGATACAGGAGAAAATCCTAGTGTGTTTGTATCCTTGTAATAAATCTTTTTAAAAAGATTGCTTATAACTCGTAAATTCTACGTTTGTAAATATTCAGTGTTCGTGACAAAAAAAGCATACATATTGTAACTCTTGCAATAAAGATTAATACATACCTACACATTAAGTATGTATGTCTGTGAAATAAAATCATCTTATGTATTTGTTTGTATTACAGATTATATATGTGGATTGCTGTTTTACTGGTTTTATTAGTAACAGGGTCGATTTTCCATGGATTGGCCAAATTCTACATGCGTTTGATGGATTACAGAAATGAAAACAAAAAATATAAAGGCACCGATCTTCATATTAATAAGCGTTATTTAGGTAATTTGTTGCTAATTTGTGAATTCTGATCAATTTCCGTCTTAATTGAAGAGACAACAGGAACTAGCATTGAAGAAAAATTTTTGATATTGAAAGGATAGTTTATCAGTTATATCTACTGTAATTTATTGCTTCTAGAGGATGAATGATTATGAGTCATCTGGTTATGATGATCTCCCTCGAAACCAGGATGACTGATGACAGGAGATCATCTCATATTTTTAGTTTATTTGTTTATTTTAGTTTATTGTATTTTTTTTACTTCTTATTTTAAATTAAAATACCCACATATAATAAAGTATACCCTATTAGGTATATGCGAATAAATTTTTATATTCATGATTTCGTATACCTACATACCTAGTCAGGTCATAAGTATTGTCACACAGTAAAAACTTTTCTTTTAGAATGCTGGCCACAAAAAAGTTTATTGAATTCGAATTTCGAATTGTTCATGAAAATAAAACTGTATACTTTTTAGAATTTTACTCATTTTTAAATATGGAGTGGACGCTTTAAGCGTCTCCCACACAGAAGCGGCTTGCGGTGGCGGCTAACCGCGGGCCGCGGCTGCAGCCGCTGTAACAACACACCACCGCGGCCCAAGTAGCGGCCTGAAGCGCCATTCGCTGAGGTGTCTGTATTACGATCGGACGTATGAATATGACAAACCGTGACGAAGTTTTTATTATATTCAATAATATTATCATATATTTTGTTTTAATACTAATGCTTTTGTGATCACGATGCGAATTATCATAAAGTACTGGATAATTTTGCACTGTTTCTATTAAAATCTCTGAATTTAGCACCATTTTTCACGCGGTACACGCGGCCTGTTGTAAAAATTTACAACTGACCGCGTACTCGCTGACACACACGCATTGGCAAATGGGGCGGAGCATGCGGCCGCGGCCAGCCGCTCGCACATCGCGACAAGGCCGCACGAGTTCGCAGACTCACTTACATTGCAAGCGAATACAACTGACCGCCACCGCGGCCGCCACCGCAAGCCGCTTCTGTGTGGGAGACTCTTAAGAAGACCGTGTTGCAGTTATTACGTTGCATCGTTGCGGTTACGCGCCAATTCAAATTTTTGACATACTGAAAAATTTGAATATAACCAAAAGATTCGTTTATCGTACCATTAAACGATACAATGAATACTCTAGTGTAGATGACAGGTCAAGAAGTGCTCGCCCTCGGTCTGTTAGGACTCCAGCAGTGATAAAAGCTGTGAAGGCGCGAATTCAAAGAAATCCCAAACGTAAGCAGAAATTGTTGGCCCTTCAGATGGGGTTAAGCAGAACCACGGTGAAAAGGGTGTTAATGAAGAATTAGGGCTTCGGGCATATCGAAGAAAAACAGGACATCATTTGAATGCTCGTCTAATGGACCTGAGACTGAAGAGATGCCGCGCTTTGTTGAAGCGGTACGCGGGAAAAAAATATCGGGAAATTCTTTTTTCGGATGAAAAAATTTTTACCGTAGAAGAGAGCTACAACAAACAAAATGATAAGGTGTACGCACACAGTAGTGAAGAAGCGAGCAACCGTATTCCGCGTGTCCAACTAGGTCATTTTCCATCCTCGCTCATAGTATGGTTGGGAGTTTCTTATTGGGGCTTAACAGAGGTACATTTTTGTGAGAAAGGTGTAAAAACGAATGCAGTTGTGTATCAAAATACAGTCCTGACGAACCTTGTGGAACCTGTTTCTCATACCATGTTCAATAACAGGCACTGGGTATTCCAACAAGATTCGGCGCCAGCTCATAGAGCGAAGAGCACATCCGGCACGAAGACTGGCCCTCCTCCAGTCCAGATTTGAATCCGTTAGATTACAAGATATGGCAACACTTGGAGGAAAAGGCGTGCTCAAAGCCTCATCCCAATTTGGAGTCACTCCTTGATTAAGGCAGCCGCCGATATTGACATGGACCTCGTTCGTGCTGCGATAGACGACTGGCCGCGCAGATTGAAGGCCTGTATTCAAAATCACGGAGATCACAATAAAATTTAGTGTCAAAAGAATCTATGTTTTGTTAAGTTCATTTTGGTATATAAATGGTTACATAATGAATAAACTTGTTTGAATTATTTTATATTAAACTTGACAGAATTTATGACCTGACTAGGTATAATATGATCAAAATTCTTTAATGCTGCACACAAACTTTTTAATATTCATAAATAGTCAGTATTTTGAACGAACTTAAGAGAAAAATAAATAACTGTGAGCTCGAAATCTGTTCACAAGGCTCGTTTCTGAAAGGGTTGAAGAGCAGAAATCCTCTAGTTTAAATTGGCGGTCTTTAAACATCTTCCAGATGTAAAATTCTTCAGGTATGCTAACTTCTTCATAAAATTTTAAAAAATTTTTTCGTCCTTGAGACTTCAACTCGGAATGCTTCAACTGTTGGTGAATTTATACTAAATTGTAAGAGAATTGTAAATGACTAGGTATCAACAGAAACCTTGCATTCCTGGGATTAAGTCCAAGCCATACCCTATAGTCATTTGCAGTTTGCAGAACAAACGATGTATCTCTCGTGCTAATCATTTATGTAAACTTCTCTCTGTCACAGATTGCGGAATACATGTTTATTTATTTTTTTCATTTCAGACACGAAGCCCGTCGGTTTGTATTTATTTGAAGAAATAACAAACAGCATTCTATACACATACGGAATGTTGTTAGTGGTCTCTTTACCCAAACTACCTTCAGGTTGGTCGATCAGACTTCTCACTGGATGGTACTGGCTTTATTGTATTCTTTTAGTCGTTTCATATAGAGCCAGCATGACTGCTATATTGGCCAACCCAACGCCAAGGGTGACCATAGACACGTTAAAGGAATTGGTGGATAGCAAAATAAAGTGCGGCGGCTGGGGTGCAGAAACCAAACGATTTTTTGCGGAATCATTGGACGATGTGGGTCAGAAAATTGCTGAAAGATTCGAAGTGATTGATGATCCGGATGTTGCGGTTAGAAGAATCGTTCACGGGGATCTTGCTTATTACAACAGTAAAAATTTTCTAAAATATTTAAGCGTTAAAAGAAAAAACGTTCATATTAATATGAACATAGATAACTCAACAATGAATGGTACAGAGACACCAGTAAATACTGAAATGCAAAGAAATCTACACATCATGACAGACTGTATGGTCAACATTCCTATTTCAATAGGTTTTCACAAGAACTCTCCTTTGAAACCCTTAGCTGATGTCTATTTGAGAAGAATTGTTGAAGTTGGCCTTGTTGAGAAATGGCTGAATGATGTTATGTACCATATAAGGTCCTTAGAACGAAATGAAGAAGAAATAAAGGCCTTAATGAATTTGCAGAAACTACAAGGAGCTTTCATTGCTTTAGCTGGTGGATATTTTATAAGTATGGTATGCCTCATATGTGAATGTATACACTGGAACTACATCGTTAAAAGGGACCCACATTTTGATAAATATGCTATAGATTTGTACTATCAGAAAAGGAATAAAAAACATTAAGTGTTATAAAAGGAAGTGTATTATATATTATTTACAGAATCATAATTGCCTAATATTCTTTTCAATAAATAATTTCTTCAGTCATGCATTTTTATTTTAAAATTACTTGATATGTTTTTTATAAATCACTAAACACTTGCTTGTTATTTTTAGAAGTGTAATGAAGTTTAAGAATGCATAAATATAATAATAAAAAAGATCAGACTAAAATATTTACCATTATTTAAGCCTTTACAGAAAGAAGTTCTATATGAGGCAAAGAAATATAATTCTAGTCTATTATAACATAAGACACATAATTGATAAGCTCAGCAGATTGTCTTATACTGTTCAAATCTCAATCAAATATCTAGCAATGTCAAAATCATGATGAACTTCTAGTAAGAACATGTACTCACGCACACATATGGATCTAAAATAATTAGCATTCAACAACAGGAATTTAGATGCATATATATGAGACCAGCAGCGGAATTTAAAGAAAAAAGTGTGCATAAATGTGTCTTCTTGATGTGTGTCGATAAGATTAGCATGGTTTAAGGCAGTACTTTTCCACAGTGGTAGAGCCACGCGGCAGCTTTTGCTGTCGCACGGATGGGCCGGCTCGAACCGGGGTGGTACCACGACCTCACAGAATACCAGCGTGAAGTAGAGGTTTACCTCTGCGTTTCGCTTGGTGAGTGCAGGTGGCCGGAGGCCCTTTTTACTGGAAATGAGGCATTCCATCTTAGTCCTCACGGGTGGCAACGCATCTGCATTTTGATTCGCAAACGAGGATAGATGTAGATGTCTATGGGCCGCAGCAACCACTTACCATCAGGTGGACTGTGTGCTCGTTTGTCACCCTTATCCTATAAAAAAAAAAAAAAAAAAAAAAAGTACTTCAAATGTACGCAGAGCTCATCTGTCTTTCTTTGTTCGTTGAGATCAACACTAATAAAGAGGGAATAATAACATTGAGAGATGCTAAAAATCAACAATATGGAACATAATATTTCTAAGAAGTATACAACTATAAAATTCAACCAGTATATAATATACATATATATATATAAGTATCATTCAGTGCAGACAATTAACTATTCATTTTAAATGTTGTGTGTTTAACAATGTTTTTTACTTATGTAGTCTAGAAGTCTGTCGATATAATGTTGGTTAAGGTAGTAAAACATTTTTTTTTCTTATTTACTTAAAATTAACAACTACAGTCAAAATACATTAGTGAAAGTTGATAACCTTAAACATCCATTTGCTAAGCTTCAAATAAAAATGTTCACACAAAAACATATAAGATAAGGATAAATGTAAATACACAATTACAGTACTAAAACTAGTGAGCATGATCAATACCTACAAAGGAAAAAAGTCATAGCAATTTATATATATTGTGCTACTCGACAAAGGCCTCCTATTTGTAAGATGGTTTTTAAAGGAAGCATTAAAGAAAATAATGCATTATAAGTACTAACATAGAATATTACTACAAATTGATTGACTATGCCAACACTTTTAATAAAACTAATTTTATGGATTTTATTGGTTCATTATAACTTTTTTACAAAAAAAAAAAAGAGTGCCCCCTGTGACCATTGCTGCTGTAAAGCCTGAAAACATCAGAAATTAAAAAAGTCAAAATTAAAAACCTTGTTCTCATAAACAGTACAATGTCTGATTAAGCCTTCTCACATGTTTTATAAAAATAATTTGTATGCATTAAAGTAAACAAATTACATTCTAAAATTAATCCATTAAACAATAATAGTTGTTGGCAACTTACTTGCTTACTACTTTATAATTATATGCTATTACATATCCATGTTGTGGTTAGGTCACAATTATTCTACCAATGGTCTATCACAACTAGTCTTGAGGCTTCTCAGCAAGGAAAGAGATGCGCATTTAATATAAAACTGGTTCTGTTTTGTCAATCATTTGCCTTTTAGTTAGCAGTCCAAGATTTTTAAAATATACATTACTTTTATGACTCAATCATTTAATAAGTGAATATTTTAAATACCAATTCATACAAAATGAACTAAGTAAATACATAGACAAATACATATATATATCAATAACTTTTTATTAACAAAAAAAGTTTTTTTTCTCTAAATATAAGCCAAAGGCTTCAATAATCAAGTCAGGCCTATATACATATATCTATTAAAAAAATAGGCATAAAGAACAAAACATTATTATTAAACTGTCGATGGCTTACACCTTACACCTTTGGATGATTCATTATAATTTGGATGATTCATAATATTTCAAATTCATAGTCATTTTTGTTCCATGGTACAAAATTGTGGCCTGGCACCTTCAGGGGCATTTTCTAATATCCAAGGATGCTGCAAAACTTGTGTCAACGGCAACCTCTGATCTGGGTTTATAACTAGAAGCTTACCCATTAAATCCTTTGCCTTTTCAGATATAAAATCTGGATATTTAATTATCACATATCTGATTTTTCTATATGTTTGATGAGAGTCTTTTGCATCAAATGGGGGTAAGCCTACCAGGAGCTCATAACACAGTACTCCAAGACTCCAAATATCAACTGCATAATTATGGGGTTTACCTTCAATCATCTCAGGTGACAAATAATCTAAAGTACCACATAGAGTCATGCGCCTTGAAGATGGTGAGTGCACTGACCAGCCAAAGTCAGCAATTTTAAGTTCATAATTATGTCCGATTAGCAAGTTCTCGGGTTTGATGTCACGATGGATAACTTTTTTTGAGTGACAATATATTAAAGCTTTTGTTAAGTCCCTGACATAGATTGCCGCAGTTTTCTCATCAAATCTCTCGTGCTCTTTGAGAAGCTTATACAAGGCGCCATGCTTTGCGTATTCCAAAATCAAATAAATCCTCTTCTCGTCATGAAAATAACCATACATTCGTAGAATATTTGGATGGCGTAATCGACACTGAATTTCAACTTCGCGACGTACTTGGTGTTCAATTTCCGAATCCAGGATTTGGCTTTTAAACAGTACTTTTAAAGCAACAACATAATGGGACTCTTTTTCACGGGCTAAATACACATTACCAAATTTACCCTTACCAAGAGGTCTTCCCAAATCAAAATCGGACAGCGACCAAGCCTTTTTCTTATCATCTTTCTTAAGTTCCGGTTTATTTGGTTCTTTCTCGTTACTCTTAGCACTGTACTGAGGCCGATTGAGAGGTAGAGCAGGAACTTTAAAATTATCAGGACCCATTTTTTGTGAGTTTGTTGGACAGGTGCAACATCGCCCAGCATTGGGTGGACGATTTTCTTTACACTCACACTTCTGAATGTTCATTATAATATTACTAATATTTCCTTAATTAGTAAATTAACCAGTGTAAAATAATAATACCACACTTTCGAGTTTTAAATTGGATCTCCCGTTTACACAAATCAATGATTTGAAATTGAATAACGTATTTTCTTGTCAATTGATAAACAGACCACAAACCACATTTGAAAACAACATGACCAGATTTGATTTGGAAAATTACTAAACAGAACAGCAAAAATCTACTAAATTCTACTAACTAAAACCCATTATTTACAAAAACATTATTCACATTGTAGAAGGGATAATGCATAGAGAAACACTAGCTAACGACGGACCGGAGGGGAGTAGCCATACGCAGGTGTTTCCCTTCTGTCAAAGTATAACCGATAGGACTTAGGGACCTTCAAGAAAAGAGCCTACTCTTTTTAAAAGGCCGGCAACGCATCTGCAATTCCCCTGGTTCCCCTGGTGTTGCAGTTGTTCATGGGCGGCGGTAGTCACTTACCATCAGGTGAGCCGCATGCTCGTTTGCCCCCTCTCCTATGAAAAAAAAGTATAAGTGCACGTGGTCCTATACGTACGATAAAACAAGTTGCCGTCGCACTGCTCACTAAATCTAGTTGCACGGCTGAATCAACATCCTACAAAAATTTCGAATTGTTCAGCTTTTTGCAGCAGCAAGAGATCTAGCACGTCAAATTTACAAAAGATCGCATAACATTTGATATATAACTAATTTTTGATCACATTATTGGTTTTTACTTGTTATGTTGTTTCGGATTTGTTTACCAACATAGGTCGCTCGCTCTCGTACAATATGCGAATCGGTCGAGCGTCTGATCCGATTCTATAAAGCCATCATTGGTAATATTATAATTATGTACTGATTGTAAGTTGACTGTCGGTATATCGAAGTGCTGAAGTGCTTGTACAGTAGGGCTACGATGGCTATCCGAGTACAGAACCAGAGTACGAAACCTATCCAATTGCAGAGAAGTGTAAGACAGGGTGACGTTATATCCCCGAAACTCTTCACCGCTGCATTGGAAGACGTTTTCAAGCTTCTGGACTGGAAAGGATACGGTATTAACATCAATGGCGAGTACATCACTCATCTTCGATTTGCCGACGATATAGTCTTTATGGCAGAAGCACTGGAGGACCTCAGCACCATACCATACCTAACTGCTGCGTGGCTCTACCACGGTGGTAGAGCCACGCAGCAGTTTTTGCTGTTGCATGTATGGGACACCAAGGCGACCCCTGCCACGCTATCCGTGAATTTCTGCAACATCAGGGGACTTCACTCTAACCTAAACGCCGTCCACTACCATCTCGAGACAGCGAAGCCGGCCTTGCTCTTTCTGACCGAGACGCAGGTTTCCTCTCCGGCTGATATTTCGTATCTCTCCTACCCGGGGTATAAATTGGAGCATTCCTTTGTGCCTCGGGCTGGAGTTTGCGTGTATGTCAGAGAGGACATCTGTTCTCGACGCCTTGGCAGTCTTGAAGGTTCGGACCTGTCCATCCTTTGGCTACGCGTAGACAGCGACGACCATCCGCGCGTCTACGGGTGCCTCTATAGGTACCATAGCGGTAATGCCGAAACAGACCGACTCATCGACCACGTCCAAATGGCTACAGATTCCTTGCTACATCAGGTCCCATCCGCAGAGATCGTGATCCTTGGCGATTTTAACGCCCACTATGCCGAATGGCTCGGTTCACGTCTAACCGATCATGCGGGGAGATCTGTTTATAACTTTGACTTGGCATATGGTCTCACACAACTGGTTACTTCGCCTACGCTGATTCCAGATGTGGAGGATCATACACCTTCCCTGTTGGACCTTCTGCTGACCTCTCATCCGGACGGATATCAGGTCTCCGTCGATGCCCCTCTCGGCTCTTCGGACCATTGTCTGATCCGGAGTGTGGTGCCACTCACGCTCCCTTCGCGGTTGCGTTCTGCAGGTTGCCGCCGTGTTTGGCATTACAGGTCGGCGGATTGGGACTGAATGCGGTCTTTCTTTGCATCCTACCCATGGGGGCGGGTTTGCTTCTCGCCGGACGATCCCAGCGCTGTTGCTGACTCTGTCACTGATGTGGTGCTACAGGGAATGGAACTATTTATTCCATCATCTGTGGTACCCATCGGAGGCAGATCTCAGCCTTGGTTTGGTCGCTCCTGTAAGACTGCATTACGCAGTAAGCAGGAGTGTTATCAAGCCTGGGCTGCGGCCTCGGCGACTCGGGATGTAAACACCAGCACACATAAAAAGAAGTATAACTTCGCCTCCAGATCCTTCAAAAGACTTATTGCCAAGGCAAAGTCAGAGCACATAGGCAGAATTGGCGAGAAACTAGTTCGCCTTCCTTCGGGAACCCGTGCATTCTGGTCTCTCGCCAAGGCTGTCCAAGGGAATTTCTGTAAGCCATCACTACCATCTCTGCACAGGGAGGATGACTCACTGGCCCATGACGCAAAAGACAAAGCCGACCTTTTAGGCTCCCTTTTTGCGTCCAACTCGACTCTTGATGACGGGGGGAAAACACCGCCGACCATCCCGCAGTGTGAGTGCTCCATGCCAGATGTGCTGTTCTCACAGCGCTCGGTTCGCAAAGCACTGCTCTCCCTGGACCTCCTGAAGTCGAGTGGGCCTGACGGAATCCCCCCAATTGTGCTGAGGACGTGTGCTCCGGAGTTGGCACCGGTCCTAACGCGTCTTTTCCGGTACTCCTACTCCCAAGGCGTAGTCCCGAATTCATGGAAGACAGCTTTTGTCCACCCGATCCCTAAAAAAGGTGACCGCTCAGACCCATCCAACTATAGGCCCATCGCGATCACCTCCTTGTTCTCCAAAATAATGGAATCCATTATTAACTGCCAGCTCATCCGGTACCTTGAGGATCACCAGCTGATTAGTGACCGCCAATACGGTTTTCGTCGGGGTCGATCAGCTGGTGATCTTCTGGTCTACCTGACCCATAGCTGGGCGGAGGCAGTAGAGTCCAAGGGGAAGGCGTTGGCCGTTAGTCTGGACATTGCGAAGGCCTTCGATCGGGTTTGGCACAAAGCGCTTCTTTCGAAGCTCCCTTCCTATGGGCTTCCCGAGAAATTGTGCAATTGGATCACCAGCTTCCTTGCAGATCGGAGCATCAAGGTCGTTGTAGACGGTGCATGCTATGACTACAAGCCTATTAACGCTGGTGTTCCACAAGGCTGTGTGCTATCACCAACGCTGTTTCTTCTGCATATCAATGATATGTTGCTAACTGGTAACATTCATTGCTATGCGGATGACAGCACTGGTGATGCTCTATACACCGGCCGTGCCAATATTTCTCGGGAAAACGTCGCTGAGTACCGGAACAAACTTGTGTCTGAAGTCGAGTCTTTGCTGAGCAAAGTCTCGGATTGGGGGCGACTAAATCTAGTCCAGTTTAATCCTCAGAAGACACAAGTTTGCGCGTTTACCGCTAAAAAGAACCCCTTTGTCGTATCTCCTCAGTTTCAAGGCACTCCCCTTCTTGCCTCAGCCAGTATCGGTATCCTCGGAGTCGACATATCGAGTGATGTGCAGTTTCGTGGTCACTTGGAAGGGAAGGCCAAATTGGCCTCTAAAAGCTTGGCGTGCTCAGCAGAGCGGGACAGTATTTCATGCCGGCACACCGCCTGCAACTTTACAAGGCGCAAGTTAGGCCTCACATGGAATACTGTTCCCATCTCTGGGCAGGGCCTCCCCAGTGCCAGCTCCTTCCACTTGACCGCATCCAACGCAGAGCTGCTCGAATCGTCGACGACCGAGCCCTTTCCGATCGGCTCGATTCATTGGCACTGCGAAGAGATGTTGCATCCCTTTGCATTTTCTTTCGCATCTACCATGGGGAGTGCTCTGAGGAATTGTTCGGATTAATCCCAGCCGCCAAATTTCACGAACGCACATCGCGGCAGAACTCCCGATACCATCCACACCATCTGGATGATTGGCGGTCCACCACCGTGCGATTTAGAAGATGTTTTCTTCCTCGCACGACCTCCTTGTGGAATCGATTACCATCAGCGATTTTTCGGGACCGATACGACTTAGGGACCTTCAAGAAAAGAGCGTACTCCTTTTTAAAAGGCCGGCAACGCATCTGTGATTCCCCTGGTGTTGCAGTTGTTCATGGGCGGCGGTAGTCACTTACCATCAGGTGAGCCGCAGGCTCGTTTGCCCCCTCTCCTATAAAAAAAAATGCTCAATGACCTCAATAGTGTCTCCCAACGGATAGGTCTTAAGATGAACATGGACAAACAAAGATCATGTTTAATGTCCATGTCACATATATGCCGGTAGTTGTTGGGAGCACTAAGCTCGAAGTTGTTGACGAGTATGTTTACCTGGGACAAATAGTCCGACTAGGTAAGTCCAACTTCGACCGAGAGGTCAATCGACGGATTCAACTCGGCTGGGCAGCGTTCGGGAAACTACGACACATCTTCTCGACAGACATACCTCAAAACCTTAGAACGAAATTGTACAACCAGTGCGTGTTGCCAGTGATGACTTACGGATCTGAGACGTGGTCCTTCACTGCTGGCCGTATGAGGAAGCTCAAGGTCGCTCAGCGAGCTATGGAGAGGGCTATGCTCGGGGTTTCTCTGCGTGATAAACTTAGAAATGAGGATATCCGCAGTAGAACCAGAGTAACCAACATAGCCCAACGGATTAGTAAGCTGAAGTGGCAGTGGGCCGGCCATATAGCTTGAAGAACCGACAACCAATGGGGAAGAAAGTTTCTTGAGTGGCAGCCTCGTACCGGTAGGCGAAGTGTAGGGCGACCCCACACGAGATGGCGTGACGACCTGGTAAGACATGCAGGAAGTCGATGGATGCAGGTGGCTCAGGACCGTGCTTTGTGGCATTCCTTGGGGGAGGCCTATGTTCAGCAGTGGACTTATGAAAGGCTGTAATGATGATGAATGATGATGATGTACTGATTGTATACTTTTGTTTTAAGTTTTTAAGAAATACTGG